TTGGAGCGTGTGGTTGGTGTTGTATTGCGGGGGATGATATTTATGGTGAATGATATGGGGTTGTGATCACCGCCAATGTGTTCTAATACTTTAAAGCTGTTTGTACATGACTGTGAAATGATTGCAAGATCGAGAATTCTTGCGAACTGTTGTGATATATCTGTGAGTTGGCGTGTTATCATTGATGAGAAAATGACCGTTGCTGTCAATGAAATCGCGAATAATGTTGCCATTACGGTTTGTTTTTCGCAGTTGAATTCAGGGTGTTTCGAGTTAAGGTCACTTAGTATAATTGGGTGCTTGTTTTGATTGATCACGGTTTGAAGAAGGTGTATATCAGGTTCTTTGCTGGGTGATATGTAAGTGACAAGTAGTGCGATTGTTGCGTGATGGGAGTGTGAATGTTACATAAGATATATTCATTGTTAGAGTTTACGTTTAGAATGAGAAACGAGACTTTGAGATCTTTCTTAACAAGTAACATTAATCCTTGAGAATTCTGTGATGGGGTATAGTTTTAACAATGTAATTAGAGAATGAGAAATTGCTTTTAGGTGAAAGAAAGGTTTCATTTATTGCTATTATATCTGCATTCAAATTTTGGTTAAGGTTAAATAGTTCATATTTTTTACCGTTTAAACCACCTTGAATGTTAATGTGCAAAAAGCTGAGCATTTTACCTTAACCTAGAAGCAGCGATGTTGATCCTTCTGTCGATTAGGGTCTTCATGTTGTAGGGGTCAACTCCTTGAAGAACGAAGTAATATCCTGCGGCGTGGCAGGCGTCGTTCAGTAAGTCACACGACGTGACAATATCTTTCCTGTTGAGGCGATACAAGATGTCCACGACGAAGGCTGTGATGCATTCGGCGAGGCTTGTAGGTCGGGTTGAAGATCTTGCACTGTCGGTGTAGGTCCTCAAGTGGCTTTGGTTGAAGATCTTGCACTGTTGGTGTAGGTCCTCAAGTGGCTGGGTTGAAAATCTTGCACTGTCGGTGTAGGTCCTCAAGTGGCTGGGTTGAAAATCTTGCACTGTCGGTGTAGGTCCTCAAGTGGCTGGGTTGAAAATCTTGCACTGTCGGTGTAGGTCCTCAAGTGGCTGGGTTGAAAATCTTGCACTGTCGGTGTAGGTCCTCAAGTGGCTGGGTTGAAGATCTTGCACTGTTGGTGTAGGTCCTCAAGTGGCTGGGTTGAAGATCTTGCACTGTCGGTGTAGGTCCTCAAGTGGCTGGGTTGAAGATTTTGCACTGTCGGTGTAGGTCCTCAAGTGGCTGGGTTCTGGTCTGGTTGGTTGCTGCTCAGGTGGTGGTCCTATGTTCATGAAGAGTTGACGGTGGGCTGTCTAAGCTTCGATGGGTGGGGCACCTTGGGTTGGTCCATTATTTGCATGGGCTACCCTGAATACCTGTTGGCATTCAGGACATTCGTAGTAAGAGGCGGCATGCGGTCCTCCACAGTTGGCACAAGTGGCTTCGTATCGCTGTCTTGGGCATTCAGCTATTGGATGTTTATCAAGTCACCAAACACACATTTGACTCGGGACATTCAAACGGAATGGGTGTGGTCAAACTTCTTGCAGTGAAAACAGTGTAGAAGGGTTGGTTGTCTGGGTCATGCTGGCTCAACTGGGTGATGGATTACCATAGGTTGGCACCGTTCTTGAGGAGATCGGTTGTGTAGTTTCATTGGATAGGCTGACACGTAAAGGAGGGATTTCTTGGCCAGTCCTTACAGATTTCATACTTTCAGCTTTGGTGGCTGAGATGTCTTGAGAATTTAGTTCTTGGACTTTTATCTGTGGTTATGTCCAGTGGGATGCTTCTAATGACGATGATGTGCGTGGCTTCTGGTCGGTGGTCTCCAGGGATGTGGACGTTTAGTTTGGCATTCTGGAAGGCTGAGGGGTCCCATGGTTTAAGGAGCTTGGCGTATTCTGCAGGGGTGTTAGTTTTAATTACAGCTCCTCCTTTGGTTAATCTTCAGACGTTCGTGATCAAATCTTTGGGAAAAGTCTTCAGAGTTCACAGGCGATTTTCGAACGTCTTAAGTTGGCGGGAATTCCCTCTATGATGATTGCTGGAGGATGATTGCTTTAGGGTACTGGCTGGTGGATGTTAATGTTTTCAGTTCTGTGAGTTTTTTACTGTTTGGCTAGTCTACAACTTGGTTTATTGGTGTTGATCTTTTGCTGGATCTCGTGGTGCAGGGCGAGTTATTTGGTGAAACTTGACTTGATCTGCTGAGGCCAGTTTGATGCATCTCTGGAACATGGAGGACGAGAGCTTGTTGCTGGTTGATCTCATACCCATATGTGGTGGTGGTGGTGGTAACCGGAGATGGTAAGCCCTCGGCAGATTGGGGTTTTGGTTCCAGGTCTGGACTGGAACTGGTCATTTTCTTGCTCCTCCACCCCATAGTGTGGTGGGGAAGGAGATATTTGTTAAATTAGTGTTAGGCAAATTCTCAGTTTAAGCACAAAGTTTGACTCAGTGCCCTTTGCTCTAAAAAAGCTAAAACCTCTATAAAAGGCTGAGCCTGGAAAAAAAGCAGTTCTCTGTACATGGTCATGTAGGATACTTACAATTTTCCCACAAAACAGTAGATAGCTTCTGTGATTAGACCCAGCTACATAAAGTCAAACCTAAGGCTGAATTTACCAATGACCTCAATCAGCTTTAGCATGTTCTAATTAAGAACTTCCAAAAATTTAAGCACTTTATAGACATGAAAAACTTTAGGAAAGTGAGGTGTGTAGTATTTGCACATTATAGTGTCAAGAGAGAGAAGTGATACATTCCCACAGGAACATGACTCTTCAAAGTCAATATGCTAAAACAGAGATCTAAAAAATTAAGTACATTCATCTTAACAGTGTTATTCTATTACATTAATGATTATATATTTCTGATGGTAAAATAAATTTAGGTTTTGAAGCACACTTAACACCTGTGCAACTTTTAAGTTATATCATATCCTACTTCTTTAAAGATTTAAACAGTTAGAACATCAGTAAGCAAACAGCATAAAAGTATTACTCACTTATCAGAGTCTACTTGCTAATAATTAAGAAAATCATATGAAAGAAGAACATATAAGGTTTTTTGAAAACCATGTATTTCCAAACTTCCATTAAGTAATTAAAATATCTTTAAATGCTGATGAACAAAAAAGGGGTCATACATTTATTAAAATCCCAAAACACATAAGCTCTATAAGAAGGCCAGAATATCTAAGAAATATCAATTTTTGTGATCCTGTGTTTTTAGCGTACCAGAAATAATAAAATTTACACCTGAAATTAAAACATTTTTTTATTTTTCTTTAAAGGCTTTTTTGGCACAATTGTTTGCAATTTTTGGAATATCTAAAATTTTACCTGTTAGAAATACATACTTTTTTGACATGTTCTTTGAAAACTATCTAGCAAACCTTAAAAAGCCAAGGAGCTACAAATATTTCATTTGTAAGGAAAACACTGAAATTTACAGTGCTATGTACTATTCATTTCCTTAATAACAATTCATAAATTTTAACACATTTCTAAACTTATAATTTACTTGTATTTGTATGAGAACAAACATAAATTTAGAAACATCAAAAATATCCATTTTTGCCTTATTAATTGCTTAATTTTTGTACCAAAATACCTATAAAAGTAAAGTTTAACAGTACTTTTCAATAGAATCCTGCATCATAAGATTAATTTTTCATTCTCATATTGTTTTAGATTATGGTCTTCATAAACAAAACGATTTCATCCACTAAGACTCTAGATCAGTGGCATAAATATGTCCTCACAGAATCATAACTATAATCATAGGGAAATAAATTTAGGGGACCCAATTATTTTTTTATGTACTTACGCCACTGCTCTAGATAATAGCTAGAAATTTCAGCAGATAATAAAAAAGTAAAGTGATACTTAAATGAAATTAGAAAAGTCTTTGTATCACAATTTTCCAAATAAAAAAAGTCAGTTTTAACAACAATCAACTAATCAACCATAACATGCACTTTAATATATGTATGTTATAAGCTGTATATTACTAAATAAGCTGCATCTTTTAAGTATGGATCTAAATGAATTCATAAGAAAAATATAATTTTCATCAGATATATGAAGCTACAAGAGTTTCAAAAGGGTTCTAAACAGTAATAAAGTTGTGTTTTTTGTATATTACATCTACCTGTAGTAATTTAAAATAGAATAAATCATTTCAACAAAAATATCTTTAAAATACCTGTGATATTCAGTATTTTTGATACAAATGGCATCTCGTACTGCACATGGCAAAACAGCCAGATCTCTATGGTTAAGGCACTGGCTGAAACAGATGGGATTTGAAGGGTTTGTCAAACCCTTCTACAGAATTAATTGCATCATGTAATTTTATAAAATCAAGGCATAGAACTAGTAATAATAATAATAATAATAATAATAAAAATATATATATATATATATATATACTTTTCTTTATTCAGATGATAAAAATGCCTTAGTAAATTTTAAAGGCAGTGACTTCTGAAAGTACATTTCTGGTATTCCAAATCACAGTAAAGTGCACCGCAGCTAGTTGAGGATAAGAAAAAACAAAAACTAGGCTATTCTAGATATAATGCATTTGGGTTTGTGAGTTTCAGTTTAACATATTTATAACCTAAATTAATCAAGTATGTTGCTTTCTCTCATATTCTTGGGATTTCAAATATGCAAACTGAGTTATACTTTCTCATAAAAATCCACTTCCCCAGATAAGCTAAAAACAAAACTATTGAAAATAAAAGGCTGGATAAAATTCTGGTTCTGCTATTGTTAAGCATAGCCATCTTTAATTTAGTTGCTATTGTTAAGCATAGCCATCTTTAATTTAGTCGCTATTGTTAAGCATAGCCATCTTTAATTTAGTTGCTATTGTTAAGCATAGCCATCTTTAATTTAGTTGTTATTGTTAAGCATAGGCATCTTTGATTTAGTTGTTATTGTTAAGCATAGCCATCTTTAATTTAGTTGCTATTGTTAAGCATAGCCATCTTTAATTTAGTTGCTATTGTTAAGCATAGCCATCTTTAATTTAGTTGCTATTGTTAAGCATAGCCATCTTTAATTTAGCTGCTATTGCTAAGAATAGCTATCTTTAATTTAGGACTGTTGATAGAAGAAAGACAAACTGTCAGCAGTATCTGTTGCCTATTTGGCTACTTTTAATAGAATCATGGGATTAAATTCACTTTCATAAGGCCTGAAAGTGTTGAGCATGTTCAATGAAATATTGTAACTTTAATGTTGGCCATTTCAACCTATATCCCATCATGATAACCACTATGCCACACCTAGCCTCTACCTTGTGCTAGAAAAGATGTTCATCACATCAAAGAAAAATTCTTTAAACATAAACTTTTCCTTAAGGAATGAGTACAACATATATAATATTTGATAAAAAAGTATAGTACTTATTATAAAATCTATATTTTTGTAATTCAGGCTTATCATTTTCACTATTAATGCTAATTTCCTCATGTATGGAAATGTTTCTATGAAATCAGTAAAAACCCTATAATCCCTTTATATTAAGACTTAATGAGCCTATGTGTTTTTTTTTTACATCTATGAAGTTATTGCAATTCCAAAAGAATGAATTGTTATAATCACACTGATCACTCACTTTAGACAACTAGAAACGCTGTAAAAACTCACAAGTGATTTTTCTGCCTATAAAAATTCTAAAACTGTCATACAAAAATTAACCAATTTTAGTGATAAATAACAATAAACCCCATATTAGCTACACAAAATATTGAAATTTCAATGTAAAACAATTCTAAGATTTTAACAACACAAAAAAAGAAACAAAACAACCCCACAACTCCACAGATATAAAAGGTGTTAACTTTCCTGTTTCTTAACATTTTTTTGGTATCATGAGTATGATTGAGTATTTAACACAAGTAAGAAATTGATTATTTTGTGAATTTTTCATAACAATCAGAAAATGTTCTAGGTATAGCCAAATAATGTTTTTTCTGCAATTAATAGAAAATTACTTGTAAATATTTATGATACCATTTCAGTACTATTCAGTGATTTAACAACATAAAAACAAGTGTTATAAAACACATGATTCTATACATAAAACAGATTTAAGACAACAGTAAATTAACCCATTTTTACAAAATTTAAAAATCCGTAAACATTTTCAACACATTCAAAAACTGTTCAATTACACTCCTATGTTTATATATATATATGCATGCTTCTTTAGTATTATAATATTTAACACTAATCAAAAAGTGGATCATAGTAACTTTATTTTTGTATATGGTTAACTCTGGAAAAATTTCCTCCACAAGTGTAAAAATGTGAGTGTTTGCGATTACTTAACAAATCTATTTTGACACAGGAACTAACAAAACAATTTACCTCCTTAATCTCATCCATTACTAGTGCAACAAGTACAAAAAACAACAAATAATAAACAGCAGCTTTTTATATATGGAATACTATGAGCTTCGTTTTCTATATCGTAAGGAATTTGGAAATATAGTAAGAAAAATTTCCAAATGGTGCCCAGTAGATATGAAGTTCTTTTAAAGCAATGTAAAACCCACTAGTTTTCAAATGGTTTTTCCACAATATCTTTAGCTTCTTGTTGATGAATTCTACCTATTCCAACAGCTGGAGTTCCTAATGGTCCTCTTCCTACATACTTTAACTGGAATAAAAATGTCACTTTATATAGACAAAATAGTAATTATTATTATTAAGAAAACTAAAGTATTACTCACCAATGTTAACTCTGATTAACAGCTGAGTTACACATTCTCTTCCTCTTATTTTGATCAACATTAACAAACTGATTTATACTTCTTTTCCCCCCATTTTGATCAACACTAACAAACTGAGTTATACTTTATTTTCTCCTCATTTTGGTTAACACTAACAAATTGTGTTATACTTTCTTCCCCCCATTTTGATCAACACTAACAAACTGAGTTATACTTTCTTTTCCTCTTATTTTGATCAACACTAACAAACTGAGTTATACCTTTTTTTCCTCTCATTTTGATCAACACTAACAAACTGAGTTATACTTTATTTTCTCCTCATTTTGGTTAACACTAACAAACTGAGTTATACCTTTTTCCTCTCATTTTGATCAACACTAACAAACTGAGTTATACTTTATTTTCTCCTCATTTTGGTTAACACTAACAAACTGTGTTATACTTTCTTTCCCCCCCATTTTGATCAACACTAACAAACTGAGTTATACTTTACTTGTTGTTAAGTGCAAAACTACACAACTTGCTCTGCTTACTATGGGCATCAAAAACAGACTTTTAGCATTGTAAGCCTCCAGAGGGGTATTCTTTATTTTCCTCTACATCTGATTAATCTTAACTGTTTAAGAGTACGTTTGTTTTACACTGTTAATGTTAAGAGCAGACCTGTACTTTCTATTTCTCTGAAGGCTGTAAAGAGTAGATAGTTTCTCAGTAATTTGTATAAGCATGTGCAGAGCAATACTGTAAACATCAAAAAAGAATTAAATACACTAACAATCAAAATTTCAAGTTATTCAACATGAAGTTAAAAATCCTGAAAAATAAAACATATTTTTGGAGAAATTGGCATGATTTTAAAAAGGTTAATACAATTACATTACAGATTTCAATATACACGTTTTTCAACCTCATCAAAAGAAAAAACCAGAGCAAGTCTAAAAACAATTAAAATCCCATCATAAGTCTCAGGTTCAACCAATACTGTACAAAAATAAAAGTGGCAAAACAAGAATGGTATGCTTCGACAATTCAATTCATATTTAATAAAACATGTTGCAACAATTCATCAATTATAGTACATAACTCCTGATGCCAGTGAAACATGAGCTATTGATCAGTATTTTGTGAGACATTACATCACAATTAGACTGATAATTTTCTTTTTTTTTTTTTAATGGCCCTATATTGTGGATTTCCAATACAAAGAAACATAAAGCGTTTCAACCACACACCTGTTGAGCTCTGGTATTGAGCAAAAAGCCTCACTGGCAGTGCAAAAAGGCGTATGTACAGTTTAGATACTATAATGGTTCTTTGTATTGGAAATGCACAGTATTGAAGCAATTGGGAATATTAAACATTTTTATGCAATTGCTTCAGTAATTAAGTACTAATTTAGAAAAAAAAAATATTTCTGTGTGTGGCACACACACACATATATGAAGAAATTGTGTAAGAGAGTTTGCCTACATTGCAAAATAAAGTCAAGAACTAGGCGAAGTGGCTTCAAGAATCAAGGATTGTAAAAAAAACGATTCCCAGCACATCCCTTAGAATGCTTAGAGGAAAAACCCAGTGAAGGAATAGTCACAAGTTTGACAGTGACAAACCGATGATGCCACTACATTAGTATAGAAAATACTGCTAAAAAGTTTACATTAAAGGCAAAAGTCAGGACTCTGATGTAGGACTGATAACCAGAGAAGTGTGTAGCAGTACAAGTGAGCAGGCCAAAAATTTACCAACTCTAACAGCAAACAATCACCAGATAATTTTTGTTGTTGCTTTTGGGAAGGCCGATGAGTTGCAGAAATTAACCAATGAAGTGTCAGACCTACTCGTGGGTAGAGGTGCACACTATTTGGGAACTCATAAAGATACTATGAAAGAATCATTTAAAAACTTATGTTTGAAGCTGAAAAGTCAGTTCTCCCAGCAGATAGAACAGTTCTCTAGGACCACAAAAAGAATTCTACAGTTCCCAGGAGCTGAAAAGTCAGTCCTCCCAGCAGACAGAACAGCTCTCCAGAACCACAGAAAGAGTTCTATAGTTCCCAGGTTCTGAAAAGTCAGTTCTCCCGGCAGATAGAACAGCTCTCCAGGACCACAGAAAGAGTTCTACAGTTCCCAGGAGCTCAAAAGTCAGTTGCCCCAGCAGATAGAACAGCTCTCCAGGACCACATAAAGAGTTCTACAGTTCCAAAGGAGCTGATAAGTCAGTTCTCCAGGAAGTCTGAAGTCACAAGCTGAAGATGTTGAAGCTATCTTCTATTCAGTGAGGTCAGAATGCTGTCTCAACTTCAATATAAGTTTAAATTGCCATTTCTCTCAATCGATTAATGTAGTTAGGGAACTAAAGCAGAATATATAATGTTAAAAGAAAACTTGAAAGTATGCCCGAGTATAACTCTCATAGTGTTTTCATCACGAGTTTGCTAAGGATAATAGGTCACTTAATGAAACTTGTAGAGGAAGTACTTGATGGAATAGCTAAGTATTTGATATGAGAAGTTATGTTTTTTTTATAAGTGAAGAGCTATTAAAATTGATGTGTTTTTGTGGAATCTCAGTCTTGGAGTCAATTCTTTATTCTAACCTTAAGCTTCCTCAAGTTACTGACTTGTGTACTCCACTTGGGACCGTTTTTCTGGATTTAATATAAATCTACTGTGACTGCTGGTAAAGTCAAACTCCAACAGCTAGCCTCCATACCTGCCTATCACAGTATAGACTCAGTAGAGAAAGATTTTAAAAATTATTATCAGTTTTATTCAGGGATCCAATACAATTAGTGAAAAGAAAATTTCATGATCACAAGTTCAAATTTTTCCAAATCTTATTAACACAGTTTTACTACTGATGTGACACAAATAATCAACCTCTATTAGATTACATCTCTAGTATAGTATTTATTCAAACAAAATCAGCATTAAAAAAACATTAAGGTCAGTATCAATTAATATACATTTTTATTCCAACATTATAACACTAAAGTCAACATATTAACCCTAACATATCAATAATACTCTTATGTTTACAACACAAGTACATTTTTGACTAACATATTTGTTTTATAGTTCTTTTAATATGTCAAAAAATTGCTTTCTAATGTTTGTCAGCTCTGGTTTCTTGGCCTCTACAGTTCTATTAAAACTTTTTGATTTTAGAAAAAAAAGTCATGTTCATCTTTGCCTCTGCCTTGTCTGCAAATGAGTTAGCTTCTTTAGTCATACCTTCAATTATTCTTTCTGTGCTACTTTTTTTCTTAACAGATCTATTTTACTATTTAATAATGATTTTTTTAGAGAAAACTTCTTATTCACTTTCTCTTTTTCTTAAATTTTTATCCAAATATGGCTAATACTTCTGCCTTCTCCAGCAGCTGAAGTTAATAATCTTGTGAATTTTAACTTTTGAAATTCTGCCAACACGAAGTTCAGGATCAAATATGATTCTGTGAACTGAGCAACCATCTCCATTGTTAAGTTTAATTGAAAATTCCCTCTCTACATGTTTGATCATGTGATACCAATAGTAGTTGTTGTACCACAGATCAAACTTTACAGTAGGCTGGCTTATTTGCCAAAATTTCATATTATAAAACATCACTTCTTTGTTTTTCCAGGTCAAACTCATCTGTCACTTTTGAAGCAATATTACAAATATAATTGCTGTACAGTCTTATTATATCATTACATGTATCAATGTTACAGTGTTTAACAACAAGGAGGATCTTGAGTAGTATTCTCTTATATATATTTTCACTTAAGTGCTTTGTTGTCCCTTCTCATGCTCCTTGGGTCAATGTTACTTAGATTTATAACTAGAAAATACTTAATAAGTGACTTTTACACAAGTTTTTGTACCAGTTTTATCAAGAATGATATACACAACATCCTAAATTTAGTTTGTTTCTTTGTTTGTTTTTAGAACAAAGCGAGATTGGACTATCTGCTGTATCCACCCCAGGGACTTGAACCCCAAATTCTAGAGTTGTAAGTCCATAAATGTATTGCTGTCCCACTGGAGGACTGAAATTTAGTACTGGCTTATTAACATTAACTGGCTTATAGACATTAAATATTTTCCATTTCTTCAGTCTTTAATTCCTTATTTATCCTGTATACATCTTTGTGGTTTTTCTTGTCTCTAACATCTACTGAAACAAGGGCCTGCACTGGACTCATTAATTCTTGAGCTAACTGCTCAAGATCATGGTATAAACAAAGAAACACCAGTTTAACAGTTCATACAATGATAAAAATGATTGTACCTGTGATAAAGTAGAATAAAAATTATGAGCTTGGGAAGAAGTGTTGGTAAGACAGTGTTTGAGGATTGGTAACTCTGTTTTAAACTGCTTTGACATATTTTCTAATTTTGAGCCACTTGACTTGATCTTGCTCGACAACAGGTAAATTTCAAGACTGCCAGTAGACAAATTTCTTTACAGATAGAAAAGGCAAACAGATCTTGTGCAACAGAAGATCGAGACCATGACCAGTCAAGGTGAAGCCCTACCAGATGTTTTATGTGATGAGAGACCTAATCAAACAAGGAGTTAAGGTAATGTTAAAAGCCAGAATCATTGAGCCTCTGAATTCAGCCTACTATTCAAAAGTGGTAATTGTAAAGAAGAGGGATGGCTCAAACCACTTCTGCATAGATTTCCAGAAGTTGAACTTTGTGAAAAAGTTCAACACAGAGGCTATCACGGCAAAACTAGTTCTTTACCAAAATCAACCTCAGCAAAGGTTAATGGCAGATCCCTATGGAGACAGAATCTAAGGAGAAGACAGCCTTTGTGACACCAGATGGATGTTAACAGTTCAAGAGGATACTGTTTGGACTAGTCAACTCAGCAGTAACATTCAACCCCATAATGAGGAAGATGTTGCACAAAACCACCCTCATTGAGCATTATGTGGACAACATTCTGACCCACACAGCCAGATGGGAAGACCACCTGAAGAAACTCAGAGTGCTGTTTGGATAAGTGAGGACAGCAGGTCTGACCATCGGACCATCTAAGTGCTACATCTGTTATTCTATGTTGGACTTTGTTTTGACACAAGGTGGGTGACTGACAGATAGCCATGAAAAAGGAGAAGCTAACCTGCATACAAGATGCACCAAGCAGCAAGTCAGATCCTTTCTGGGGTTAGTGGGATACTATAAGAAGTTCATCCCAAACTACACTGAATTTACTGCACCACTGACTGACTTGACCAAGAAACTGGGAACAACCCTAGCAGATGGCATAATGGTTTGTTGAAGTCTGGCATTCTAAGGATTGGCAAACTTCCTATCATGATCTTCAACTTCTGGAATTCTTGAACTACCTCTACAGGAAGGAGTTAATCATCTAGATGGACAAACAGCCCCTTGCAAAGATCCAGAGGTGTAAAATTGACAGTGCGAGGATCATGAGGTGGGCATTGTACCTCCAGAAATACTGGTTCTGCATCAAGGCCATCAAGGGGACTGCAAATTTTAGTGCAAACTTTGTATATAATATAAAACAATATTGTAAATATTTTTCTTGAAGAGGGGCTTATTGTTTCAGTTTAAGTTTTATGCAAGTGTTATGATTTATAGTTTATATAGTGTAAGTGTTAAATTTAGTTATTTTTAGAAGTGATAGTTTATCACAGGTTTGTTTACATAACTGTTTACGAATCATACATTGTGTAGTTTAATAGTTATGAGTTGGTGATTGTTATATTATTGCGTCATGTTACTACAACCTTCAGAGTTTTTCTAATTGTTTAAATTGTGTATTATTGCATCATAATATGTAGTAGTGTGTAGAATGTTCTAGACCTCTATCAGGGTATAAATATGCATGGAAAATTGTTTCAAAGAGTGATCTATATTGCGTGATTGTGAGTTTAGCCATAAAGAGTGTATAGAGACAATTTTTAAAGTGAAATTATCACAGACTGTATTGTAATAACAGTGTAGAAAAGAATAATTTGTCTTGTCAAATTGTGTTCTAAAGCAACTGAACCAGCCTGTGTGGACTTTGATGAAAAAGAGACAATTATTTAAAGCTCTGGATACAAGTGTGATAACCAACAGTGTAACGAACATTTATATATGTGTTTGACTTGTTTTAATATGTTATTTTAAAACAAATGGAATGTGTTGCTGTTTGTTTATTGTTGAAATTTATTGCCAACAAGTAACAGACACCTACTGTAAAGAATCCAGCCCATACAAAATTCTGACAAGGACATGGTTGACAAACTTTAGAGACAGTGTGTCAGAAGAAGTAACTTGAAAGAAACCTGCTCTTCTAGTGGGGCAGCCTTTAGGTGACATGTACAAACTTTGTAGTAGTTTCTCAACATCCAAACCTGTTGCCCGTGAGGCATCTATAAATACACCTTGCATGATATGAAGACCACAGGTTCTTATATTTAGTAAATGAACATTACAGTCCTCTTTAGTGATTTTCTCAAGAAGATTATAAACATTTACAATTAATATTGGGAGTACCAAAGTACTATGCATTGATACTTATAATAAGTTTCTTAAATGATATTCTTCAACAGCAACCATAAAACTGTGAAGTAAATCTTAATCACATAATAGGATGTAACCATCTTTATCATTAACCTTCCTTGAAAGCAGTTTACTAAAATATGGTGCAATTCCAAACTGACTGAAACATCTGACATTTGTTTCACTGCATGCACATTTTTAGCAATATTACCATCAGGAATTATTGCCCTAAACACTTCATCTGAAAAGTGTAATATAATGACACTGCACTGTAACAATTAATTATCCATTATTATTCAACAGACCAGCAGGTAATTTATTTATCAGTTTTTCTTTTCAATGAAAGTTTAGGCAGAGAAAAGAAAAATTCACAAATAAATCAATCTTATCATGTGTGAAGCTTCATCATAGTTTTTTTATTAAACATATAGAACCACTGATGTAGTAACTGGTAGGATAATATTACAAAGTAGTGGTAACCAATGCTCAGTGTTCTGCAAAAAAATGTTTCAATTCAACAACCCACAAGGTCTTCCAAAAACACCAATCTCATCATAAAGTTACTTCAAAAACTTTGGGTTTCATTAAATTTATTCTTTTAATTTTTCACTACTTTTCCAGGACATAGCTGAAATATCACACTTTTTCTATGATTTTCCAGGCCTTGACATTTTACCAAACACATTCTATGACTTTCCATGACCACCCTGTTTATTGTGATATATTGCCACAAAAACTGCCAATATAACAAGAATTGTTCAAAGACAGATTATTAGTCCATGTTTTGACCAAATTTTATATTATGTAAATTATTTCCTTTCTTAGTATTCTCTCAAAAATACTTACATCATATCCAAGCATATTACGGAATCGTGGTTGTATGAAAGACCAAGCACCCATATTTTGATGTTCCTCTTGACTCCAAATAAAGTCTAGAAAATAGTAAAAAATAAAGCAATTTCAGTTCACTATCATTGTATAAGAGTTTTAAATAAACACTAGAACAGAAAGAAAATAAAAATGTTGTACTGAAGATAAAGAAGATATCTAATTTAAAATACAATAGTTTTGTAAAATGCAGGAAAAAAAGATTTACATATAAAATTGAAATTGTAAATTACAGCTACAAAGATTTTTATTTAATTCAAAAGAGTAAAAAAAAATCATTTTCCAGCATGTACTTTCTAGATACAGAATTCATACTTGGAATAAAATGATATTGTATGCAGAATTATAAAATATTCAGTAGTATTTCATGACTGTGCATGGGAAAAATGTGTGTCAATACTCTTGTTTGGAAAGTACTCTTAATTTTATGATAATTGTACAAATACAGCTATGTTTGTAAATTATTCTCTGGAATGTTTCACTGAGAAAGATGATGAAAATTTCAACAACAAACTATGAAAAATTATGTTTTCTGTAAAATCTTAAGATGTACTTCAAAAATTAAAATCAGTTTCTCAATACTTTAGTCCTTATTCTGATTTAGAACAGTATAAGAACTCTTCAGTGTGTGTTTTTTTTAAAGCAACCGTAAAACATGTACCATTCCCTTTACTTTTCAAAATAAATAAAGATCATAATCAGCAAAAAATTGAAACAAGAGACTGAACAATGTTAATGGACAACTTTAAGATATTGTAATGAAATATATCTCTGAAAATACTTACTTTTGGCATTTGGATACTTCTGTAATTGTGCTGATATTTCATTGGTTGGAAAAGGACATAATGACTACAAAAATAAAAATAAAGACACATTATTAAAACAATCCCAAACACAACAAAAACGAAAAAGCATTAAAAAACATACAAATGCTCCTGTTTACTTACTTCAATTCTAATTATAGCTATGTCTTTCTTTGATAGAGATTCTCGATGTTTCTGAAGTGCATAGAAGTGTTTTCCAGAACAAAATATGATACAATGGACATCTGAAGGTTGTACACTGAAATCACCCAGCACAGGAAGAAATGTTTTTCCAGGAGTCATTTCTGACAGTGATGAAACTGCTGCTGGATGACGAAGTAGGATTTTGGGAGAAGCAATAATCAAAGGTTTACGGAAGTTTCGGATAACCTACAAAATTGGTAAGAAACCAATTGTTTCTGGATTTCAGACTTAATAACACTTTAGCCAAAAATTATAGTTCATAGCTACAAAGTAAAATAATCTTTTCATTATTCACAATTCCTATTTTAACATATAAGGTATTCAACAGGAAAACTGCATATTAAGCATATAAATTAAATTTAATGAAACTTTGAATATCCCAGTACTTTGTTGTAGAGAATATTTACACAATTTTTTTTCAGATAGAAATATACAAGTAGTATACATAAACACTAATATATGATTAAAATACATAAGATGTTAAAACCAATCAGCAATGATGAGTAAAACTGTAATTCCTATTCCTTGATTCAAACAAAACAACATAGTTAAAATATCTTACTTGTCTTCGAAGTAAATGGAAGTATTGAGCTGGTGTAGTGGGATTGACAACTTGCCAGTTAATGTTGTCTCCATCAGTGATGCCAGATTCGTTGCTGTCACTCATCTAAAAAATAAGCATTTCACTCACTTGTCCTGTTCTATAGAACTTATTATTTCCATCCTTCACTTAATTTATATTAACATTAACAAATATTTTCTTCCAAAATAAGCATTACAATAATTTGTCTTATCGTATACAAATTATTTCTATCTAACACTTTATTTATGTATATGTGAGCACAGCATAAGACAAAAAAAAACATCCTCAGGACATTTAAATAATTATGTACATTCTGTCATTAAACCATAATTTGACCAAAAAAAAAAATCATCAAAGTCCAAACCCTAAAAAAATGGCAACATTTTTTTGCTTTCAATTAATTATCCATCACTTCTTTACAATTTCTTTTTATGTATCTAATACTTTTTCTTGTATAAAATACCAGCACATTTTCTGTAATTTTTCTGAAGATGAAATTCTGAGTTGAATCACTTATTTAAAACCTAAGAATATTCTACTCATGACTCCTCATGCTAATAAGAATAATTACTATTTCTTGTACAAAACAAAATTATTAGCTGACTATACAGGAATATTTATAATATTCAGTACTGGTCATAAGTCCAGATCTAACATGAAAAAAATAGTAATTCTGCTGTAAAAACCTGCAAGAATGAGAACTAATGTTGGCAGAAATTAACAGTATTTCATTTGCTGTTTCTCTATGTGTTTTATCCAATTATTCTTATATAATTACAATAAAACAGTTATTCCATTTATAAATTATATAACATAATCTGCTCATCAACAATGGGCAACATTAAATGTAATTTGAGTAGTCTTGATCCACTGGCACATTTTTATTGTATATATATTTTCTACACCTGATCTAAATTTCCAATAATCTTGTTTAAATTGAGTTAATTATTAGTGAATCATTAAATTGCCAACATCAAGAACTTGGAAGTCTGAACATATCTAAGACTGAGGAAAAAATCAGAAAAATATTTAGAATTAATAACTGGAAGAATAGAAAAATTTAATGATTTTTTATAATAACAAATTTAAAGGTACATTGTTTAAAGGGTGTGGTTCAAATAACAATGAAGCATTGTGCTACAACTGGGAGTTTAAAATCTAGTAACTGAGAGGAACATCCAAATAAGAGAACAGTATGATTAAAATAATTTCACCTCAGAACAATACAAAAAATTCTCAATAATAAATGAAGTATACAATATTCATGGTGCTAGAATCTGCAACAGGACATTCCAAATTGTAGTAGTCCGTTCAAGTTATCTCTATCTCTTTAGTAATCTACCAGTAAAAACATTCCAAACAGCAGAAGTTTATTCTAGCTATCTCTATATTCACTTATCAGTAAAAAAAACATTCCAAATGGCAAAAGTTTGTTCTAGTTGTATCTAGCTCTCTAGTAATCTAACTGTAAGTAACATTCTAAATGAAAACATTCCAAATGGCAAAAGTTTGTTTTAGTGGTCTCTGTCACTCTTAGTAACCTACAAGTAAAAACATTTCATATGACAGAAGTTTGTTCTAATTGTCTCCATCTTTCTAGTAACCTAACTGTATGAAACATTCCACACAGTGTTAGATTTTATTGCAATTATTTAAAGTTTGTGCCTCAAACTTTCTATTTACCTATGCTGATTATGGGACTGATAAAAGAAAAAGTCATTGTGACAAATCCATGTACAAGATGTTACAGGAAACATCACACACATTGTCTCTATGTCTCAAGTAATCTAATTACAAGTAAAATTCCGAATGGCAGAAGTTTATTCTAGTTGTCCCTACCTCTCTATCTAGTAACCTACCTGTAAGAAACATTCCAAATGCCTAGGTTACTAGATAGAGAGGTAGAGACAACTAGAATAAACTTCTGCCATTTGGAATGTTTCTTACAGATAGGTTACTAGAGAGAGAGGTAGAGACAACTAGAATAAACTTCTGCCATTTGGAATGTTTCTTACAGATAGGTTACTAGAGAGAGAGAGTTAGGGACAACTAGAATAAACTTCTAATGTTTCTTACAGACCAAATGGCAGAATAGTTGTCTCTACCTCTCTATCTAGTAACCTACCTGTAAGAAACATTCCAAATGGCAGAAGAATAAACTAGTTGTCTCTACCTCTCTATCTAGTAACCTATTCTGTAAGAAACATTCCAAATGGCAGAAGTTTATTCTAGTTGTCTCTACCCTTCTATCTAGTAACCTATCTGTAAGAAACATTCCAAATGGCAGAAGTTTATTCTAGTTGTCCCTACCTCTCTCTCTAGTAACCTATCTGTAAGAAACATTCCAAATGGCAGAAGTTTATTCTAGTTGTCCCTACCTCTCTCTCTAGTAACCTATCTGTAAGAAACATTCCAAATGGCAGAAGTTTATTCTAGTTGTCCCTACCTCTCTCTCTCTAGTAACCTATCTGTAAGAAACATTCCAAATGGCAGAAGTTTATTCTAGTTGTCC